CCAGCTTTGTGTCACCATACCTGAGTCGAACCCGACCTCTCTGAATTACAGCAGCCTGTGCCGTCACCAACGCCGAATACCGTACTTGTGCAGCAATGCCGTGATAGTACCGATCCTGAAACACACCGTTATAGTGGCGCCGGGCGTGGAAGTACTCTACGGGAAAGGTCCCGAACCTGGTAATAAATCTCCATCGTGGCTGCCCACTCACCGTAGCAGCCCCAAGCCTGAAGCAATGTGTCGCCGAGCCCATTCCGAACCAGATTCACACCGAATACCGTAGGACGTAGCCAGTTCGCAACAATACCGAATCTCTCCGAGCCACGTATCCGTACCACGCCAAATGCCATCCTGTTAGTCCAAGGTAGCACCATCCCACGCCGTCCATGCGACTACGGGCTAACTCAGTGAGGTTAGTAATCATAATCAGATAAACCGGAAAGTTCAGAGAATTCGATCAGATCTGGGTTCCGCCCCAACGACGGTTAATCCATGCGAAGTCAGAGCACGCATCGAGTAATCATTATTTTTTGTTCGTCTGTTCACTTTTTAATTACCCTTTTCTTTTCTTAATTCTATTGTCCGAATTAACATAATAATCGCAAATTCTCAAAAATTAATTTCCGAAGGGTTTAAAAAGCAGTAGTTGAAATTCTTTCGTTCCCCTTTTCCCTTCTTCATTTTTAGTCTTCTCCCCATTTTCAATTTCATTGCCGGAAACATAAAATAACAAGGGTATTACCCCTATAAGTAAATGCCGTGAAAAATAAAGAAATTAAGGGATATTATGTTTTTCTCTTCTCCCCTACTGGTCTTAATCCCTTCTCCCCATTTTTAATTTTGGTACTAAAATAGACAAAAATCTGAGGCCTCATTTCGGCCGCGGTCGTATGCTGCAAAAACGTTGCGGCGAGGTCCGTCTCCTCGATGCCTCTCCGCGGCAGGCTAATCCGGCTCCAGCCCTCCGAACGGTCGGAAATTACGGTCTCTAGATACGCCAAGTGCGCCCACCCATCTCGCTATCTTTGAGGGTTACTTGTAAGATTCAGTGTGCCCAGAATCAGGGGTACCCTGAGTTCCCCTAATTTCTGTCGCCCAGTCAAACCAGAGTACCGTGAAAACACAGACTTGTCCTTGAGCCTAAGTCCCAAAGCCGCAGATTTCAGGCGGCGCACTGCTTGTGGCCGCCTGACACCCCCACAGGCTGCCACGTGGCCATGGAGATGGCCACGTGCACAGGCAGCAACAGCCACGGGGGAGGGGGGGGTAAATAGCAACTTCGCTGCTGCTCATTGCTCGATGCGAGGGCGGGGGGGGTAAATAGCCAGCACGACACCTCTTCAACACGAGTGTGCCGTTCTACAAAACCATAGACACAATGTGGTGAGTGTGTTATGAGGCTGCTTACGCACACGCATAGCTCGGCAAGTGCCTGGGTTCAAACCCCAGCGGCAGCAAAAACTCTCAGATCTTGATAAGATAAATCCGGGGGCGGGGCGGGGCAGCGTGGCGCGCGCGTGCGGCGGCCTTGGCCTTGGCGCTTGCGCGCACGCGCTCGTCCTGGCGTCTCTTTTTTCCGCCTCATGGCACCTCCTGCGCGCGCCGCTTTTCCCCGCGCTCGTCCTGGCGTCTCTTTTTTTTGCCACGTGGCACCTCCTGCACGCGCCGCTTTTCCCCTGCGTTTTCACTGAAAAACGCCCGAAAACAGCGAAAAAAACCGATGTCGGGTTTTGCTGTTTTCCTCAACTGTGAACGGGGAATGTGGTGGTGGGTGAGGAGCGGGGAACGTTCCCGCTCCGATACCAATGTAGCGGACCCACCAGGTGTGGTGCTCCGCTAGTAACAGAGATGGAGATAGAGGAAGAAGGGGGGAGCGAGATGGCACAACGCAGCTCCCCACGCAAGACTCCAACGCACGTACTCCAAAATGTGCAAGTGAAGAATGAGACTGAAAACAGACAATGGCTGGGGTATACCCCAACGGACTGATGGGACTGGACTGGACTGGCTGGTACTGACAGAGGTACCGGCCTGGACTGGCCTACCCCGAATACAACACAGGCGTGTGAGAACAGGTCAAGGGGGCTGGTCTCACAGGCCAACCCGAGGTCCGCTATATACCCCTCTCATGTCTACAATATATACTTGTTTTACTTATTCGCTTTACTTATTCATTTTTTATTTTTTTATTTTACAAAAATATTGTTATTCTTAAGGTATTATAGTGAAATTATTAAACCTGTGGGGCAAGGTCCTGCTACCTTTTTCCCTCGAATACAATGTGCGAATCTCATGTGTACAATATATATATATATATTTTTTCTTTGCTTATTCATTTTGTTTATTCCGCCACCTTTCCCCCCCCGAATACAACATACCAATCTAATGTGAACAATATACATTTGTTTTCTTTTTTTGTTTTACCTATTTATTTTTTATTTTATTTTTTGCAAAAATTATGTTTACATTTGTGTAGCACATTGAATATGTACAGGGTTTTTCCAAACATGTTCGGGTGTTCGGTCGAATATCTCTCGAATATGTTTGATCAAGCATATTTTTTATTTATTAATAAATAAATAATTTTATTTAACTCGAGCAACAGAAAAATTTTCCAAATTAAATAACCATTCTATAGTAAAATTACATTCTAAATTTCAAATTTTCATTCCACCTTTAAAAATATCATTCCATTTTAATTTTTTTCATCTTACTTGAAAACTTTGATTCCAAGAATGAGGTATTCCTTCTTGTTCGAGCTGCATGTTAGAGATGGAATGAAGGTCTGGATCAGTTCATGAAATATTTTATTTTGACTGTCATTCTATGTAAGGATTTTAAGTCATGAATAAGTTAATTCAATCTAAATTAGAAGATATTTGTTGTAGTATAATGAAAGTTTAATTAAGACTTTTCATAAACTTGTCCAGACTTTCATTCCATCTTGAACAAATAGATGTAGTTTGAAGGGAAAACTCATATTAAGATGGGACCTTATCAAATAAAACTGGAAATTTTAGAATCGGACGAACATTGGAATTATAATTTATAAATATGAAGAATTGTTTTTTATGGAATGTTTTTTCAACTTTCATTTTTTATGGGAATTTTTCTTTTGAGTTTTATTACGAATTTGGACACACCTCCCAAACAAAAAACTATTTGTATTATCATTCTACATAATGATTTTTTTCCCAGATTTAACAATTTTTTTTTTAATGTGTTCATCTATGCAGCATCGTGTTCGGGTTCGCGAACGTTCGAGACCGAACGCGAACGAACGCCGAAACTGTTCGAACGTGAACATAAAAATATATATAAAAAAATAACATTTATCCAAAAAATCTGGAAAAAAAAATGTTATGTAAAATAATAATACAAACAACTTTTGCCTTGGAGGTATGCTTAAATTCGTAACCAAACTCGAGTTAAAAATATATATATATATATATATATATATATATATATATATATTTTTAATATGTTCGGTTGAACACCCAAACATGTTCGAACATTCGAAAAAGTTCCGAACATGTTTGGTGTGCTACACAGGTATTCGGTTGCTTTTGACGCTCGTTCACGTTCAATCGATAACGTTTGGGTTAGGCCACCGAACGTGAAACGATGCTATACAAGGACTAAACACAACAGTAATTATCATATATTGTATTAAGGGAAGACGGTCGTTAAGAGGACTTGATTTAGTGTTTGAATCTGTATATGTTTGTGAAGAGGTGTAAAATGTTATAGAAAATCATGATTAATTTGCTTTTTTGCATCTTTGTATAAAATAAAATTCATATTTAGTCGATTCAATGAAATCCACTTTGTTTGTGGGACCTCATTCCATTTTTTTTAATTTTTTTTAAAAGTTTTATCTTCTGAGTTGGGGGCAATAAAATAAAATAAAATGGAAAACCAGATCCCCCCTATAAAGCACCTAAATATAAATATGTGTATGAAATTATTAATAAGTAGGCTCATCAAGGGAAATACATTTACAAACATGTCTAAATGTAAGTGCTTTACCACCAGAAAAATAACATTAACAAATATGTTTATATTTAGGTGTTTTGAAGGGGGGGGTTGCTTTTTCATTGTTTTTTTTTTGGGCCCCTAACTGATAGAGGAAACAAAGTGTTGCACAGTTAAGGCTGCTTGCGCCCTTTTGCCTTCACGGTAAATCAATTGATCTTTGACGCTTTTTAAAACCTTTTTGGACAATTTCTCGATTTATACATGTCTAATTTTATTTGTATCCTTCCAATTTTAAACCACCAATACTTGACCCAGTTATCGACCGCGAAAGAAACTAAAGTAAAAACATTTCGAGTTGAATGAATTTGGACGCTCCTGTAGTGGCCCGTACGTTTTCTAAAATCGTGGCTTATTAATTAGCACGAGTTTAGGAAGCCACCAACTTCCCAAAGTCCCCGCTCGTTATTATCCGTGACTTTCGCGGTGACTGTAGGGCGGTAGGATAAATAAATTCAGTCAAATGAAAACATCACAACTGCTTTCTTTTGCTGTCCGCGCCTTTCGGGACGAATGAGCGGTGCAACTTGCGGACTTCCTTGTTTCCGCCATCATACGGGGCACTCTTCCTGCAAACTACATCTCCCCATGGCTTTCGCTGGGCCTTTTCCCGGGGCTTCTTTTGGGCCCTCCCTGCGGGGCTTGCTGCCCCTGGCACGGTGTTGTGTTTCCCATCTTCAACTCTGTACGGCGTCACATCATGCCATCCGCTGTGCTTGATCACAGGCTGCGTTCCCTCGTCCTAAAGGCAAATGGCATCCCATCCCATGGGTGATTATGTGAAAGGGACCCTATCCGTAGTGATCCAGTTAGGGTCACTGCTTCTAGGATGGTCACCCAAGCCACAGGCCGTTTATTTGCCGAGCCGCAGGCAGGACGCCGTTGGGCTGTGGCCTCTCGCCAGTACAAAGGAAACGTGGGGCCCCACTGGACAACCCCACAGGGTATTGGCTTTCCGGTAACGGAGGCCAGCCGAAGGTGCACCGAAGCTGTTCTGTAGGCCCAAGTCTGAGAGTTTCGGACCGCGAAGCTAGTTGGAGGAGAATAAAGTCATTGCAGTCGGTAATTCTCTCTCCTTTCTAGACAGTGCGGCGTCGCTGGTGTCAAGAACGCCATAGCGATGGTTTCCCTTAAGCTCCAGAAGCGGCTTGCCGCAAGCGTGCTGAAGTGTGGCAAGAAGAAAATATGGCTGGATCCCAACGAAGTGAACGAGATTTCTATGGCCAATTCAAGTACGTCAGGCGAACCCGCCCGATCAGGAATTTCATCTCCATATCCTATGCCATCTTAGGGTTTGTAACTCAGGAGGGCTACGGCTAAGTGGGTGACGATAGTGCTGCGCACGTCGGCAGAGAAGCGTGTGGCGGCTATCTTAGGGTTTTTGCATCTCAGGGCTATGGCGTACCGGGTGATGAAAGTGTTGCGCATCAAGGCGAAGGAGCGTGTGGCTGACGATATTGTTGTTTTGGAATTATGGGAAAAAGTGGCATCGGGGCGGCGGATAGTGTAAAGGGACGAGATCGGGATCTCACTGGTCACGCAGAATACCGGCGGTTACCACGTCAATTAGAGTGTTGAGAAGCAGGGATGGAGGGAGAAGATACAAGAGGGAGAAGATATGAGAGCTGAGTTTGAAGAGATGTCTGTCCGTCACCTAAATTAGGGCGTTGCAGAATAAGGCGGGAGGAGGAGGGACGGAGGAAGAAGAGGAGTTCGACGGTAAATTACGCTAATAACTTAGGGTGGTTGAAGCAACGAAGGAGATAGGGTGGGATGGAGGCAGGAGGCGCTGTTGTTGGTGGATGGAGAAGATGTGGTTGGCAATCGTGTGGCTAATTTGGTGCGTGCGGTCTGTAAAAGGATGCTGCAGTCAGAGCGGGGAGGCTATCTGCATGATGACGTGGTGTTTGACATAGCGTCGTATATATATCTTATTTGTCGCTGTGCCGTGGGTAATGGGTCAGGGAGAGGTGGAAAAATGCCTCTGGTGAGGGGGGATAAGGGATTCATCTAACGAGTTTTTGTGGTGTTGGGGTCGAGGACTAGCGGAGCCTGTGTGGATGGGGAGAGAAAAGTGGCCTGCGTAAACAAACTGAGGAAACGGGTCGTAGTGATTTGATGGTATTATGAAGTTTGCCTGTGTGCCTGTGCATGCTAGTGGAAGAGGAAGGTTGAGTTGATGACGACTATTGTTTGACTGTGCGCAGGCATTTTGTGCGCACGCATTTTGGCTGCTATTTTTTGTATGTCGGAGCTGTAGCCTGAGGGGAGCAGAGAACTTCTGGCTCAGCCGTATATACGAGATTTCGGCTCCGCCGTTCTTCTCAGCACATTAATCAGTCGCCCCATCTTCCTCTGTCAGTTGGAAGTTGCACTTGATGCACCTACTGTATTGATGGGGACTATGATGGGCTTGACTGTGGAAGTATTAATGGAGAGGATTAAAGAAGTGCGGGAGAAGTATTAATGGAGAGGATTAAAGGAGTGCGGGAGAAGTATTAATGGAGAGGATTAAAGAAGTGCGGGAGAAGTATTAATGGAGAAGATTAAAGAAGTGCGGGAGAAATATTACTGGAGAGGATTAAAGAAGTGCGGGAGAAGTATTAATGGCGAGGATTAAAGAAGTGCGGGAGTCGTAATGGAGAGGATTAAAGAAGTGCGGTAGTAGTAATGGAGAGGATTAAAGAAGTGCGGTAGTAATGGAGAGGATTAAAGAAGTGCGGTGGTAATGGAGAGGATTAAAGAAGTGCGGTAGTAATGGAGAGGATTAAAGAAGTGCGGGAGTAGTAATGGAGAGGATTAAGGAACTGCGGGAGTATGTGGTCGTGATTATGGAAGTGTGGAATGAGAGGTTATATTCTTAGGTGGTGTGCGGACATGAACTGTCGTTATCTATTCTCAACTTCACCAAATTTCTTCAAATTTCATTGTTGAGCGGTGAGTATGTGGTCGTGTTTATGGAAGTATGGTTGGGCGGTGAGTATGTGGTTGTGATTCTGGAAGTATGGAATGAGAGGTTCGATTATTAGGTTGTATGTGCGGATATGAACTGTCGTTTTCTATTCTTAACTTCTCCGAATTTTTCTAAATTTCATTGTTGGGCGGTGTTTTGTTGTTCTGACAGGGCAAAATATTCGGAAGCTGGTTAAGGATGGCTTCGTGATCAGGAAGCCGCAGAAGATCCATTCGAGAGCGCGTGCTCGCCGGGCTATGGAAGCAAAGCGAAAGGGACGGCATACTGGATACGGTATGTGATTTTATATTTCCCGTTATTGTCCTGGCCTCAGGTTGACTACGCCGACTGCGGGCAGAAGATCTAAATACCGATATTGTAATGTTTTTCTCGAGAACGCGACTCTTTCCCCTGTGGCTCACGACCGGACCCTGTGATGATTCTCGTCCTTCGACTCACCTGCGTCTCGCCTTCCATTTCGAGCGTAGTACCTACGTATCTCACCATGATGTTTTCGTCACCTGTCCTTTCACGACGTCACAAGTATGCCTTCTTCTCGTTACCTGCGGCTTTTTTCCTCTCGGCTCTCGAGTATGGACTCTTTTCTCCGTCATTCAGGACGTCATATAAGTCCCTCTGATGGTCATCACGCTGTTCTCTCTATTACGAGCGTCATCCCAACGTTGCTCAGCCTTACTGACTGTCACTGCTCGGCCTGTTCGAGCGCTGGTCTTCATTCTAATTTCCATTATTTTCGCCGATCTGGACCTGGTATCTTTTTGGTTTTCTCTGTGATGTTCTTCAGCTGTTTGTTTGTTGATTTTGACCGGTTCTTTTAATGGGTACGTCGTTTGTATCATAGGCTTCGACCTTCCTCTTACAGGTTTCGCTGTCACTATGACAGCCTTCGTTGTTGTCAAAGGCTTCGCCTCCTTTTGGTATCGATTTTCCCGTAATGGACTGTCGTTTCTCTCTGCCCTTTTTCCCTCGTCACTATTCTACTCTTCTATCCTCGCCAACATCCACTTATGTCGGCACCCTTTCCCCTTGCTCTCTCACCCGTCTGTTTATCTCTCCAATCTTTCGCTGAGTCATGTCTCCACCGTTCTCTTACTCTTTTTCACTCTTTCAGCCTCTTATTCCCCATCTTCTCATGCTCCCTCCGCCTCTTCTCATTCTCGGTCTGTGACACTTCCTCCCTTTCTCGCTTAGACCGTTTGTCTTCATCTCTCTACCCTATTGGTCTATACTTTCTTCTTCTTAGTTCCTCCTGGTTACCATCTCCAACCTATTACTCTTCATCCTTTCTCTCTCCAAGCTCGTACTGTCCACACTCTCGTGCTCCTACAATTTTCACTCTCCACTTATTTTATCTTGTCTTCTTTCTACTCTTCGTTATAACCTCTCTTGTTTTGGTAATCCTTCATGTTACTCCAGACGTCTTTGTCCCGACAGACAGTCCTCTTTTTTTTCTTTCATTTTTCCGTCTTACTCCCTCCGCCCTTCCTCTTATTCTGGTAACCCTTCGTCTTAATCCATTCCTCCACTCTTCCTACTCCACTCATAGTATTCGTCTCTACTATACTATCGCTCTCTCCCAATCTTCGTAACGCTCCACCCGTCTCACCGTCCCGACTCTCCGCCGACGGCTCCACCTGCCTTGGACCTGCGTGTCTTTCGCTCTGGTCGAGCTTGCAGTCAGGACGTCAAATTTCTTTCCTTTGCCTTCGGAGTTTTCTCCCGTCATCGGTTCACTCCTTGTTTTCTGTCCTCTTCTTTCCCTCTGACGTCTCTTTTCTTTTGTGTTCTGCTTTCTGTGGTTCTGTTTGTTTTTGGTGGCGCGCTTTTCCCTGTTGGTCCGTCATTCTTCTTATAAGTTCCATTATCCTTCTTTAATGGTGCTTAACGTTCATCTGTCGCGCTTCAACCCTCCTCGATTGCTTCACTCTTCTTCGGTAGTACACCTCTACCCTTCGGTCTTCACATTTCACTCGATGGAGGTACAGGTACACTACCTTTCAGGTTTCACTCTCCCTGGGGGACTGCATCTGTTTGGAGGCTCCTCCTTCCTATTTGCAAGGCTCCTCCTTCGTATTTGCGAGGCTCCGTCTTCCTCTTTGTTAAATCTCTGTACGGCTTTGATGGTTTCTGTTTTCGTTGTTAGCCTCACCTCTTTGAAGGTTCCTCTCTCCTTGAAGGCCATATTACCTCTTTGGATGTCCAGTTGTGGATGCCATGCCTTCAGTAAAAGCTTTACCCGTTCACTCATGTTTTGGGAGGATCACACAGTCTGTGAACAGGTCGGCAGTAGAATTTGTGATGTTCAAGTATACTGTTGGAGCTTCGAGTTTGTCCTCGACGCAACTCAAACCTGCCAACGAGTTCGCATGTTTCGTAGTCATCAGCGTAACCCCCTTCGTTTCCCTCTTTTAATTTTCTTACATCAGCGTAACCGCCCTTCATTTCCCTCTTTTGTATCTTCTTACATCTCCCCTCTTTTGTGTCTTCTTACATCAGCGTGACCGCCCTTCATTTCCCTCTTTTGTATCTTCTTACACACTGCCTGATTTCTACTTCGTTTACGTATGGAGAACGTTTCCGAGCTTATGTTTCGCGTCATCCTCGATCCGTGCTTCTATTTCTCCCCGAGTCTTGAATATGTATGTGGTAATATAATTCGAATTGTCGAATAATAACCTGAGTGATTCATCTGAGTGGAGTAGTCGTATGAAATTGTGATATTTTCAGAGCTGTTTGCGGTTTGCGTTTGTGATAAAGCGAGATCGTAGATAGCAATTTTTTGATATGATTGCTTTTCCTATTATGTTCACTCCTTTCATACCTGTAGTGTAATTTTGAATGGTTGGTCAGGTATATGCCTCAAACAAATTATGGTGCACGGTGTCGGTTTCTACGCCTAGTTGAAGAGTGAAAACAAGGTGGAGAACTGCTGGCCAACCGGCGGCGCCACGCTTTTTCTTGCGTCGCCGCCGGCCATCGTGCTGCTGAGACACTGTTCAGCCGAGTGGTTTCTGTTACTCCGGTGTTTCGATTTTGCCTGCGAGTAGTGATCGTTGAAGCTGCGTTTGATTGGTTGAATGGCCGGGTGGGTGCTAACGTAAGAGAATTACGGTAGGGTAGAATTCTGGATTGCTTGTTGCCCCCTGTAGGGCCTGTATCCGTGGTCACGGTTTGATTATGCCCAGTTACGGTGCCGGTGTGATTACGTTGAGCAAGACAATGAGGTAGTCTTCTTTCGATTAGGATAGGTGAATTGTGTCTAGTTGATTTTATCGAACAAGAATATGAGGTAGTCTTCTTTTGATTACGACGTTGTCCTTAATTGTGTTGCCTTGGTTGATGTTTCGGTTATGTCATTGCTCAGGTAAGAGAAGGGGAACTCGCGAGGCCAGGCTTCCTACGAAAGTTCTCTGGATGCGGAGGATGCGTGTGCTGAGGAGGCTCCTTCGTAAGTATCGTGATGCCAAGAAGATCGACAAACACATGTACCATGACATGTACATGAAGGTGAAGGGTAATGTGTTCAAGAATAAGCGTGTGCTGATGGAGAGCATCCATAAGTCCAAGGCAGAGAAGGCTCGTGAGAGGACTTTGTCCGACCAGTTCGAGGCACGCCGTGCGAAGAGCAAGGCTACAAGGGAACGCAAGATTGCCAGAAGAGAGGAGCGGCTGGCACAGGTACGTTTCGCCGGAAGAGTGCTGCCAGTTTAGCGTTCCTTTGTTAATGAGATTCTTCGTCTTCGAAATGACGGTCTCTTCTTCCGAAATCCTTGGTCAGGATATGAGTCTCATTAGTAGTATAAATCTTGTACAACACAAAAAAAAAGAAAAGATCTGGTACAATACAGCAGCAGATCGTTCCTAAACGGGGCAAATTCCGTATGTTTATTGATTTGGTTCGGGATCTATTCACCGGGTTTCCTTCTCCCCTCTCTACGAATGTGTTCTTGTATAGATTTCCCGAGCAGGACGAATATCCTTACAAAGTGTACATTGCTTTCCCACGGGCTGTACTCGGTACTCTTGAGCACTATATTATCCCTTATACTGTGTGCACTGTCGTACTGTGCACTATATGATCACTTATATACTGTGTACACTACGTTATCTCGTCTCCGTTTTTTTGGTTCGTTGGAACTTTTCTATGTTCTTCGGTTCATGTCTCTCCGTTGGCTTTCTGTGTTTGTCGATCTCCTCTCTATGGACTGACTATCAATCGACTCGTCTGCTGAAATTTGTATAGAAAACTGTTTTGCTTTCCATAGCGTATAATCAGTTCAATTGGCTACTGATATACCTAAAAATTATCAGTTCAATCGGCTACTGATATACCTAAAATGGTTGTGATAAAGTCGATTCTCGGCTACTGATATACCTACAATGGTTATGATAAATTCGATTTTCAAACAAAGGACGAGTATGTCGGAAATGTAGTCTTATTAGTGCGAATCTCGTCTACGGTTCGCATGTTTTTTTTTTTGACGATGTGGTGTCGTATTACTACGAATCCTTTGGGGAGAAGTCGTAAAACCTCGCCCCGACGAAACCTTGGTATCCATTTCCTCCCAAATGGGAAAAAGGTGCCGCAGACCCTAAAAACATTTTGGGCGTCATGTTGCGCCCTGCAAATCGCTTTCCCACCATTTTTATACAGCGGCCGTTACCTACCTTCCCAGGGTGCAAAAATGACAACAAAAGTGATTTTGGGACCTGCGGTGCTTTTTTCCCAGTTTAGGGGGAAATGGATACAAAGGTTTCATCGCGGGGAGTTTTTATGATTTTGATCCGAATTTTGTCTACGATGCGTACGGAATCGTAAAACGAGCGACGTCCTGCGCAACCTTGTTTACTCCTGCTCTACGGATGAAAAATATGCGCTCACGGCTTGCGCAGGTTATCAGCAGCGGTACCGTTCGTTGAAGGTTGTGCTTCAGGGGCCAGTTCCACTAGCAGCGTTGAGTTTCCTCAACGCCTGGATCTGGACGCGTTCGTGGAGATATGCGGTCGAGAAAACTCAACGCAATTTCTGTACATATCCAGAGGCACGTCCAGATCCAAAGGGTTAGTGGCACCCTAAGCACCATATAAATTGTTCCCCGCGGGTGATCTCAGAAGGAAGTTCCTTTTTTCGGCATTTAACTTCGACCGTCGCGATTGCAATTGTCGGCAAATTTTGTGAATCGAAAACGGCAGCTCCCCCTGGTGGAAACCCTTAGCGAGATCTGTTGCGCAGCTTAAAAAAAGGCGAAATGTCGGCCAGGAACGTTGAACCTAAATGCACAAAGGGTAACCTTCTTAGTGATGTGCGGTCCCCTGTAAACAAGGAAGAACGATGTAAGATCTACCGGCTGCTGTCGTTCTTCTCCCTGCCTGTTGTGAAATCGTATGTAGACTAGTGTCTTCCCCCGAACATTATGCACCCTCATGATGAATGCATACAAGCTGTACTTTCTCCCTCGTACAGCGGAAACGAGTCGTTGCGATCGGCGGAAGACTGTAGTCTGTTGGAACAGTCCAGTTAGCTATTGGCCTTCACGGTGCGACAATGAGGCTGATGGCACGTCGGCCCGTTCACAACGGTTGGGTACGGTGGCTCTTTTTTTAACTTGTCGGTCTGTTGTGCAAGTGTTAATCTCTTCCTCGGTGTCGGTACTATCACCTATGTCTAATGTGAAAGGAACAAACTTAAGGAGGTGTTCGTTCCTCTGCTGTTTTCGTTCCGATGAATTGTTTATTACGAAAAGCACCTTGCTGAATTGTGACCTAATCCTTATCTTTTTCGAATTGGTTGGACGGAAATTGTGTACAGGGCCTGTCTGGAGTGAAGGTGCCCGAAGCTGCCCCGCCACCCCCAGAGCCAACGTAAGTGGGAATGATCATATACCTGTATCTGGACTATATCGTATGCATGTCTGGTCTGCGTACTCGTCCTGATGGATAGATGGATAGCGATGTTCGGAACGATTTTGTTATGAAATTGTACAGTTTTGAATTCAGAACCGCGGTTGAAATCTATTCGATGGGGCAGAAATTCGATTTATTAACGTTTTTTGTTACCCGCGAGAATAGTTTTTGGCATTCGCCGGCAGAATATCGGATATATGCGATCCCAAATGGTGGCAGCCCTGAGGTAGGGGTTGAGATACGGCAAGTGAGTAGGGCCCCCTTTTTTCGGGAAATGCTCTAGTCCATTTGTGGGGAGCAATACGTGCTGGGAAGTGCCCAGCGTCCCATATAGAAATATACAAATGGTCTGAAGTGCCAAGGGCATTACCTACCTTCGGTCTAAGAACAATCTGAGAACAATCTGAGAACTAGGAAAATAAGGGGACCCACTAGATGTGAAAGACATAAGTCGGTTGATTGCAATCTCCCGCGTGCTGTTCTTGTATTGTGTTTTGTATTTTCTGGAAGAATGGAGTGTATTGATACGTATTTTCTGGAAGAATGGAGAGTGCTGATGGGCATTAGACGGACTTATGGTATGTGTAGGTGTTATATATGACCGACATAAAAGCCGAGTTGTAAAATGTAATGGAGGTTTAGTCAGTAGAAGCTTATATTCAATACATTTTTTTAAATATTAGGTCGACAGCTCAGAGTAGGCTCAGTAGTTTTACCGATTAATTAGCTTCTGGAATTTTGCAATTTCGCTTCGTTAACTGTACCCGATCCAGGGTCTCGCCGCATGGCGCACGAAACGAAAACGACACGAGTGCATCTGCCCACGAAAGGTGGTAAAATACACGTTACTCTTTATAGCCAACGGATGAACCTGGCCATTTTCTGCAGCAAGATGAACTCGTTTCGTTTTTCGTTCCCGCGAGGCCCCCTTTCTATGGTTATCCTGTCTGTTGTGTGTAGTAATCGGGTAGCTGTTTGCTCTCTACTGTCTGTCCTGTTCTGAGGTCAAATAAAATGTGCATAATCCGCCGATTAGCAACATATATCTTAGTGGGTTCCTTCGAGACTTCATTGAAACAATTTCGGTCAGTCATTTTTTTGTATACACACATTGATTAATTTAAAAGGTCGAGTGCAATCTATGGACATAGAAATCGAGTGCTCCACTTTTCGCCTTCTTTTTTTTTTTATCTCCTCACCAGTCAGAACGAATGAATCACATTGAAGACACAAATTTCAGAGTTCAATCACGTGCTGAAAATCCATATGCAATCCTTACATATAATTTGCATTAAGGTGCACGGTTAGGAAACACTCTTATTGTTCGAGGTAGCCCCTCCCAAAGCGTGTTTTTTTTTTTCTGGCGGGACTCGTGTTGGCGTTAATTTTATATTCAAGGTCGCCCCTTCCAAAGCGTGTTTGTTTTTTTTCTGGCGGGATTCGTGTTGGCGTGAACTCATTGCGTGGTCGAATCGTGAACTTGTTTATTGCGTCGTCGAATCGTGAACTAATTTATTGCGTGGTCGAATCGTGAACTCATTTATTGCTTGGTCGTAACGTAAACCCTAAAATGTTGTATGTTCGTCGATATTCGTCCTGAACCAACTGTTACCTGTGAACAAGTCGCCGATGTCATATCCATAGTCTTGTCTTGGTTACACACACACATGCACGCGCACACACTCTATCTCTGTTTTGTTTTTTCTGTTGCTGTGCGTAATTTGGCTTCTGATTTGTTTTTTTGTTCGTTTTGACATCTGTACAGGTCTGTGCCGAAGAAGAAGAAAGGAAAGGAGTAGAGGTTCGGCGTGTGCGGCGAGGCGTCTACGGTAATTGCGGCGTGTGCGGCGAGGGCGGGAAACGCGTGACAGATGCGAATTTTCAGTTTGTGTACATTGAGGTCGTTTTTCTCCGTTGTGTCGGTGGAGTAGAGCTGTTCGTCCTCTCGCTATCCTGTTGTCTTCTGGCAAAGGACCAGTCGTAGGGAAGAAGGGCTTCATGCATACGGTCGGTCGTTGTGTTTGTTAATCTGCCAAGGATATGAAAGTGGAAGCACACCTTTATTCAGTTGTTGAGAGTAACAAGCGTATTTTTGCTCCCTTTCGCCTCTATGCAGTCTGGTTCTTGCGAGTCGGTCGATTTTCGCTGCTTTGTTTTCGTGGTCTCTGAATCTGTGATGGGCGTGTCATTCGTCCTCTCCCTCTTTGTTGTTGCGATTGACGTAACGGACTTTGGGTTGGGTCGTACAGATTTGATGAATTGAACACAATTGTGTCACGATGTCAGTCTTTTTGTTGGACTCCTGTGAAAGTGGAAGCATACCTTTATTCAGTCGTTGCGAGTAACAAGCACCGTTTTGCTCCCTTTCCCCTTTCTGTAGTCTGTTTCTTGGGAGTCGGTCGCTTTTCGCTTGTTTGTTTTCGTCCATTCTGAAGCTGTGATGAGCGTGTTATATGTCCTCTCGCTCTTTTTGTTGTTTCGAATGACGGAGCGAACTTTGGGCTGGGTTGGGTCGTACACATTTTTGATGAAACGAACACAATCCCGTCAAAAGTCGCAAGATTTGTGCTGGACACATGAAAGGTGACTATTCTTAACTCTCTCACTGGATGTGCCAGTCTGATGAAATCGATTACACCCCGTTTTCATTTCTCGAGTAACTGGTCTCCAGATAATCAACGTCGAAGTCGTTGATTCTCCAGTCCTCTCGCACCTCCGTTGCAGCTGTAACCGCTGTATTTGTGGGGACTTTGCCTCCATGCAGAGATAATCAACGTCCGTACAATTGCGAGGTGCGGCGGTTCTGCCCTGAAAATGAAAGAACGTCGAAGTCGATTGTTATTTCGTTGCTGGAAAATTTTGACATGGTGCACGGTATGGGTTCGGCTTCTGCCAATGTAGAATTGCAGGGAAATTGATCTGGCTGGAAACTGATTTCTGTCGCTGAATTGGAATCAGCGTATAGTCTGAGATGACGACCGTGATGCCAATCATGGATGAGATCCTTCTTTCAAAAGGCATGATGTCCAAACGTCTGTTATAAGAGTTCGAATGCAAAACGACGTCGACGCGTAACTTCACAATCACTAGGAAGTCGCATGCGAAAAATAATCAGACCCCGATTTTACTACACATCCTTTTCGAGTTCTGTTCTATGGTCCAAAGGCAACGGCAAGAAGAAAAAAATTGAGATCCTGGAATGGTACAGACTTGATGGTTTTTTACTGGTGAATTGTACGCAGTCCCGTATCGAGGAAGTCCTTGACGTTATAAATTGGAACAATACAGAAAGAAGATTAGCATTCCCCTGCGCGCAAGGATAACACGTGTAAATCAATGTGGAAATGGAAACGTGCCGATAATCGTGACCCTGAGTCTTTCCACGAACACGTCCAGATTCGGGTATGAATATGTTCGGCCTGAATGCGGATCTCTTTCATATTTCGTGCAGTCGTAATTTTCTGCACCTCTCCCCAATCGTATCTGTGTGCGTGCGAGTCGTTTATGCGATTAAACAGGCGAGAGAGAGAGAGAGAGTGAGAGGGTTCAATGCACGTATGTGTTTGTGAGTCGCACCCGCTAAACGTGCTCGTTTCGGAACTCACATCATGACGCCCGCTCGACTGTCGTTTTTTGCCTATTTCAAACCAAAAACGTGCCACAGCCAGAGTTTCCCTTTTTTTTCCTTTTATTTTTGTCACGGGGTGGTTCCCACGGGGGCACGCACCCATCCTACGGGCGGCACTCGTTTTTTTACGCCTTCGTAGCCACGTAAAGTGGTTCGAGCGGGTTGGCGCGCGTCCGGCGGAGTTTTGAGTGCGCGGTTGAGTGCGCCGGAGTGCTCAGATACGCTGTGGATGGTTTTCACCTAATACAGATCTCGAGAGAGAGAAAGGGGCGATGCTGATGTTTTGTGTACCGTTTCGATTTTAAGGGATGCATTGTCCCGAAGGACTGCAAACGAACAATCGGCCGAGGTGACCCTCAGCATTGCTTACGTGCTGTCACATTTTCCAATTTTCTCTTCGGTCGTGTGTTAAAGAATGTCCTCGAGTGCGGCCAGTCTTTGTCCTATAGAGAAATGGGTCATGAAGGAGAGTGAACATGTGACTGTGACAAAGTGTGACAGCCAGGAGAAAGGTGGACAGACCTCTGTACACGAGGACACGGGGAGTCAGGTGGACACCCCTGTAGAAGACGACATCCGTTTCTCAATGGCGGTCAGGGCACATCCTTATCTGAAGGACTTAGTTAGGTGGAACGAGTCTGAAATTTACCTGTCCACCGTCATCTTGCTAGTCTTCCCCCGAGCACAAGGTACGGTCGTTATAGCTGAATTTAGACTGGAAGATGCACCCAATTCAGCTATAATAACCGTACGTTGTATTCGGGGGAAGACTGTAGTACCCTTACGTAGGTGTACAGGGTCTCTATTCATCTGACATAAGTGCCACCAAAAATGCTCCCATAACATGCCCGACCAGCACAAAATTCCAATTTGCACGCTCACAAGTTCTCTGGATCGAATACGAAACCCTAAACCAGATTAGGTTGATCATTGTTCAAGATATTCTTTCTCTGCAGGAAAATCGAACTTGCTCTGCCCCCCCCAAGTGGTGTAGGTACCAGTTGGTTTCGTCAGTCAAGGGTCTTGGAAATTATTTTGTACGAAGTGCTTACTAATGAAATAGGACGCCAGTTGCTGATATGCCTTTTAGCGTCTTTTTCGTACGAAAAGGAATTATGATTCCGAACCTAATTTCTGCGCCGTCTAGGGCATCGTTGTAGATACTAACGTTGTGCGCAAGCTGTTCCAAAAGGTGTAGTACTCTATATTGGTGATGTAGTACTCTATATTGGTAATCCATCCTTCTCTGGACATTTGCCTTTAGGCATCTCTGTGAGGTAGGTTGGGAGGGAGTCCCATAGCATTAGGCGGTCTCTACCACATAGCGGAGTGCTGAAGTCGAGTCTCATATGACTATAATCAAGCCTCTACAATACCGTGTTCTGTGTCGAGTGCAAAAACAAGAAACCATAGTTTTTCAAGAGTGACTGCCCCGTCAAGGTGCACTACCCTTTCTAGAGGTGTGTGTCGAATCGAAGGTCAGCCAGAGTTCTTTGTTGTAGGGTCAAACACTCTAGATACAGGCCAACCCCTCTAGATGCAGTCGACGAGTGCTTTCTGTGTAGAGGACATTTCGGAATCACAGTATGGCATGTTCCACCATTTGTGGGGTGGTGTCGGACATTTACGCAAATGGCTCAAAATTCAAGGGACGTGGTGGTCCGATTCGGCTATTGTGGTTGAGCTCTTACGGGAAGATAGCCTCTTGGAATTTGCTTCGGTCATCCTGTCGCCCACTTCCAGCGACTTCTTTTTAGCTCTTCCGCCCACGTTTTCTCGTGTTCAACCTGCGTCTCTTCGAGTATGAATTATCCATCCCCTGGCTTCTATGCGCGCACCAGCATTCTTCATCACGAGGAACCGTAAGACCTGGTTGGCTTTCGCTGAATCTGTTGCCATCGCCTGGCTTCTTTGCGTCCCTTCGAGTAGTTTACTGTTGCCATCGCCTGGCTTCTTTGCGTCCCTTCGAGTAGTTTACTGTTGC